AGAGAGAGAGAGAGAGAGAGAGAGAGAGAGAGAGAGAGAGAGAGAGAGAGAGAGAGAGAGAGAGAGATGCTTTCACTCACATATTTAGAAACAAGCACGTCCAACTTCTTCAGACAAATAATTTAGAGCTGGCTTCACTTTTCTAAGTGCTGATATGATGTACTCAATAAAGAATTTCATGAACCTCCAAAAAGTGACAGAATCCTGACTCTCTGAGTTCATTACTTGGAACAATGAAACAGCATACTGGGAAATAAACTGACATAAAGTGTATTTAAATAGTTGGCTTCTGAAGAAATATTATTTTCAGAAATATTTTTTTTTTTTCACTGTTCAAAAATTTAGATGTCTTCCAGAGATTAAGCATAATATGAGAATTATATAGGTCAATCATTGTTGCGCACTGTTCAAACCATGCATAATCCCATTAATAAACTATTTATCGATTATTAAAAATTATCAAGAAAAACTGCCATCAGGATCAACAGAAACCAGATAGATTACTGCAGATCCAGGCTGTGATGTGAGTCATGCAGGCTGTCTCTACTATTAATGTGGAATCTTTATAGATGCAGTCAACAAGGTGCTTTCTAGAACAATTCAGTCCTGTGTTTCATTTTTATTTTATGTGGAAATATATAATGAAGGCTTTTGACAAATATAAAAAAATCTGTTCAATTGAAAAATATCAAAACACTGTAATGATTAAATCAAAGATATACAACGTTTGTTTGCCATGTTGTGTCAAACAAGCAAAGGAAGATTATACAAGTACTTATGCCCATGAACATTCAAGATCTTATGTGTTAGCAATAAAATCTGAGATAGAATATGATATCTGCAAGGAAGCATCCCAATCAATGTTGTAATAATGTGTACTAATGTTCTGTACTAATGTTCTGCAGCTTTGTCTCCCAACTGCACTTCTGAACATTATTCTTGAAGGAGGATTTACTTATGGAGATTGCAGCAATCCAGCTCAAAATAAGACACCAATAAAATGTTAAGCAAATGAAAGCCCAAGAAAGAACTTCAGAACATTTAAACGCACACTCACTATACAGTTATCTATTAAATTATCAGGCTTTCTTTGATGTATGCAGCCATTCATCTCATATACAGTATGTAACTCTAGCTGGCTTACAATAAAATACATAATACACAATAAAAAACATAGCAGCTGTTTCATTAAAAATCCTCAACAACTTCAAGACTATACCGCACTCACAGGGCTTCTGGCCAAGCACAAAACCAGTTTTTTGGGCCTTGTGAAAGACCAGCAGTGTCATGGCTAACCTAATATCAATTGGCATGATATGCCATACTTATTTTAGTTAAAGTTATACCTTTTAATTTGCAACAGAACCTCAGAAAAGTGTTCAGAGATACAATGGATACTCTTGCTTTGGAAAGCAGGCATTTAAAACCATCCATTATTTGATTTTTATTTATTCTCTGAAATAAAAAGGAGAACATTTGCTTTCAGTGAACCCTTGCATTATATTAAATATTTGTGATTAAATACAACTTGTCTTGTCCCTAATTGTATACAAATGAAAAATATATATTATTTTATTGTGACAGCTATGAAGTACAGCCAAGAAGCCTAAGTTCACTTTACCCTTGTGAATTGTGCATGTGCTCCAAATATTATTTCTATTCTTTATTTAAATTTACAGGTTTTCATTGCTGAATATTTATTAAGCAATTGAGCTCACTATGGTTTTAGAGAAAAAGAAAGATAATACAAATATATAACACTACTATTATCTTGAAAAGAAATATAACTCATGTGATCTAAATTGCATTAAATTAGTAATAAAATTAAATTAGTCCACAACTAACAACCACAATTGAGCCCAAAATTTCTTTTTTAAAAAAAATATTGTTTTATGATAGAAAATAAAATATAAAACAATAGAACAAACAAACAAAACTAAACTAAACAAAAACATACATCCAACCCTAACAGCAACAACGAAGAAAAAATAGTGTACAGAAAAGGAGGAAAAAGTGGTCAAACATCTAACATGATGTTGGATCCACCCTGGCTGGGGGCTGAAACAAAAGAAAAAGCAGTACATTCTCCTCCCCTTTTACAAATATCTATCTATCTATCTATCTATCTATCTATCTATCTATCTATCTATCTATCTATCTATCTATATCTAAATATATCTGTATCTATATCTACATATGCAGATACACACATACACACACGTGTGTGTATGTATCCGCGTGCGTACGTGTGTAAAAAAACAAGAAAAAGCAGTCAAGAAGCTGAGCTAAACATTACACTAATCTTCAAATCCCTGTTAACCATCTATTATTATACTGAGCACATAGAAAGTCCACAAATGGTTTCCAGTCTCTTATGAAGCTATCCAGTCCATTATCTCAATCAAAGCAGTAAATTTTGCCATCCCTGCTGATTCAATCAATTTCAAAATCCATTCTTCAACAATCAGCATCTCTTTTTCTTTCCGGTGTTTGGCAAGTACAATCCTCACAGCTGTGAAGGAATTGCAACCAAAATTGTTTTTCAATTGACTTGTCCATACCTAAAGGAAAAGCTTCAGGTGGCACAGTGGTTAGAGTGCTGTATTGCAGGCCACTTCTGCTGACTATCAACTGCCTGTAATTTGGCAGTTCAGATCCCACCAGGCTCAAGGTTAACTCAGCCTTCCATTCTTCCGAGGTCGGTAAAATGAGGATCCAGATTGTTGGGGGCAATATGCTGACTCTGTAAACTGCTTAGAGAGGGCTGTAAAGCACTATAAAGTGGTATATAAGTCTAAGTGCTATTGCTATAAATATTTTTGCATTGTCACTGTTATGTTTATCCACTATATATTTTCACATATTTGCAAGAAAACCACATATGATAAAATAAACCTAGATTTTGACTACATTTCCAGATTAGAAATCCCTTTATACCAGTGGTGGGATTCAAAAATTTTTACTACCGTTTCTGTGCGTGTGGCTTGGTAGGCATGGCAGGGGAAGGATACTGTAAAATTTCCAGTCAGAGGTGGTATTTGCCGGTTCTCCAAACTACTCAAAATTTCCGCTACCGGTTCTCCAAAACTAGTCAGAACCTGCTGAATATCACCTCTGCTTTATACATTTTGGCTAATCTATCTGGGGTCAAGTACCAATGATACATCATTTTATAAAAGTTTTCTTTCAAACTATAATTTAATGTAAATTTTAGTCCCTTCATCCATACATTCTCCCATTTATTTAGTTATATTATGCCAACATTTCCCCCATTTTACCATACATTCTTTAACATATTCATCTTCTAGATTCATCTTAGCATTATATATACTTTAGAAATCAACTAGGATCTTGCACAATCAATACCAAGTCATTAGCAAATGCATGTAATTTGTAATTATGTGCTTTAATTTGTAGTCCTATTCCTGTTATCCTGTCTAATACCTCTATTTAACAGTTCCAACACTAGAATCAATAATAAAGGGCACTCCTGTCTTGTTCTCTGGTTTTGTAAAGTATCTGTTCGCCATGATTTGACCTTTCTGGAATGTATAGATGGACTTCAGTTCCTTTATAAAGCCCAATCCAGAATCCATCTTTTCTACTACATTAAACATACAGGGCCAGTTCAATGTCAAAAGCTTTTTCTGCATCCAGAAAGAATAATGCAACCTGTTTGTTGTTATGTTGTTGTAAATATTCGATTATATTCAAAATTACTCTTACATTATCTTTTAGTTGTCTTTTAGGTAAGAAGCTACACTGGTCTTTGCGTATATAATCCTGTAAAACTTTTTAAAAGTCTTTCAGCTAAAATAGATGTAAAAAGTTTGTAGGCACTATTAAGGAATGAGATTGGCCTGTAGTTCTTCACGTAAGTTAAATCCAGTCCATCTTTGGGTATTAAAGAAATGTAGTCATCCTCCCAAAAGTCTCATATAGTGTTCCCTGTAAAATAGAATTCATTAAGTCCTTCATCGGAAGTAGTAGTTGATCTTCAAATATTTTATAGAATCTACTTGGCAGACCATCGGGTCCTGGAGCTTTGCCTGTTTTAGCTCTTTTAATTGATTCTATTATTTCAAAAGTTGTTATGTTTGTAGTTTTCCAATAGTTTAGGAAGATTTTTAGTTGTTTATATTCTCCTCCATAATATCTAAAGAGATTTCATGTTTTGAAAATTCAGGTCACAAATAAGATGAAGTATTTGGGGATACATTTGACAGCA